GGCCGACAGCAATCAACAACAACTGTTCTTTGACCCTGCCCAGATTTATTTCCATATGAAAGTCGCTAAAAATTAATAAATTTTACAGATAAATTTACATTTTAGAGAGAAAAGCAAGGGTTATTTCTGGTTATACCAAATTTAAATACTCCCAAAATATACTTAATGTTGAATTCTAAATCCTCTGCTGGAGATATAGCAAAAGTGAGAAGTTTGGGACCAGGGAAAGAAGAGAGAATAATCACAGACAATATGGAAAAGGAAGTGAATGATGCCCTAAATTAACAAACTAGGTAGAGAAGCAGCAGAGCTGATAGCAAGAAAATAGCTGGCTGAAGAACATTCAAAGCCTTATAGTCGGTTTTATTGTTTGTTTGTCTTCAATACTTGTGGGAACTGCCCGTTAAATTCCTAGGGCCGTAATGATCTACTTCAGCTTCCAAGATGGCTCTCATTGTCCCACAGAGGCTCACCTGCCTGATCTTAGCCTGAGAACAGGCCCTCTTCAGACAACACATTCAGCTACTTTCTGCTTTGGGCAGGGACAGGCTAAAGAGTAAAAGGGAAACGGCAAATGCTGAAAGGGATTTGGGAAAACTGAGACACTAATGCACCATGTGGAGCTGTGAATAGATCCAACCATTCTAGAGAACAATTCAGAATAATTTGAAACTACACCCAAAGAGCCCTAAAACTTTGACAAGCAATACCTGTATCCCAAAGAGATCAAAGAAAAAAGAAAAGGATCTATCAATTGGAAATCAAGGGGATGCTCATCAATTGGGGAATGGCTAACAAGTTGTGGTATATGATTAGAAATAATGGGTGGGATGGTTTCAGAAAAACCTGGGAAGTCTTTTTATGTAAATGGTATTTTATTTTTTCTAATTACATGTAAGGAAAATTTTCAACATTCATTTTTTAATAAGATTTTGAGTTACAACGGGAAGAGCAAGGAATAGTTTACCTGTCAGATTTATGGAGAAGAGAAGAATTTATTACCAAACAAGAGACAGAGAACATGATGAAATGCAAAATGGATAATTTTGATTATATTAAATTGAAAAGTTTTCTCACAAACAAAGCCAATGCAACCAAGATTAGGAGGGAACCAGAAAACTGGGAAAGAATTTTTATAATCAGTGTCTCTGATAAAGGCCTCATATCTAAAATATATAGAGAACTAAATCAAATTTGTAAGAATACAAGTCATTCCCCAATTGATAAACAGTCAAAGGATATGAATTGGCAGTTCTCAGATGAAGAAATTAAAGCTATCTATAATCATATGCAAAAGTGCTCTAGATCACTACTGATTAGAGAAATGCATATCAAAACAACTCTTAGGTACCACATCACACCTATCAGATTGGCTGACATGACAAAACTGGAAGATTACACATGTTTGGAGAAGTTGTGGGAAAACTGGAACACTAAAGCATTGTTGGTGGAGTTGTAAACTGATCCAACCATTCTGCAGAGCAATTTGGAACTATGCCTAAAGGACTATAAAATTGTGCATACTCTTTGACCCAGCAATAGCACTTCTAGGGCTATATCCCAAAAAGATCATAAAAATGGAGAAAAGACCTACATGTACAAAAATATTTGTAGCAGCTCTTTTTGTGGTGGCAAAGAACTGGAAATTGAGAGGATGCCCATCCACTGGGGAATGGCTGAACAAGTTGTGGTATATGAATGTGATGGAATACTATTGTGCTATAAGAAATGATGAGCAGGCGGACTTCAGAAAAACCTGGGAAGACTTGTATGGACTGATCCTGAGTGAAATGAGCAGAACCAGGAGAACATTGTACACAGTAACAGCCAACTTGTTCAATGACTGAATTTGATAGACTTGGCTCTTCTCAGCAATGCAAGGATCTAAGACAACTCCAAAAGACTCAAGATGAAAAATGCTACCCACATCCAGAGAAAGAACTATGGAGTCTGAATGCAGATGAAAGCATACTATTTGCTCTTTTTTTTTGTTTCTTCTTTCTCGTGGTTCCTCACATTCATTCTAATTCTTCTTTACAACATGACTAATGTAAAATGTTTAAAAAGAACGTATATGTAGAGCCTATGTCAGACTGCACGCCGCTTTGGGGAGGAGGGGGAAAAGGGAGGCAGTGAAAATTTAAAACTCAAAAGCTTATGGAAGCAAATGTTGAAAACTAAAAATAAATAAAATTTTTTAAAAAGATTTTGAGTTACGTATTTCCCTCCCTCTCCTCCCCCCTCCCCAAGATCGCAAACAATCTGTGTGTAATCATGTAAAATGTATTTCTGAATTAGTCATGTTGTGAAAGAAGAAACAAAACAAAAGGAAAAAAATACGAGAAAAACAAAGGAAGTGAAAATAGTCTGCTTCGATCCACATTCAGACTCCGCAGTTCTTTCTCTGGATGTGGACAGCATTTTCCATCACAAACCTTTTGGAGATGAGGATCATTGTATTGCTGAGAAGAGCTATATCTATCATAGTTGATCATCACACAATGTTGCTGTTACTGTGTACAACGTTCTCCTGGCTCTGTTCACGTCATTCAGCATCAGTTCATGTAAGGCTTTCCAGAAAATCTGAGAAGTCTTACATGAACTGATGCAAAGTGAAGTGAACAGAACCAGGAAGACAATGTACACAGTAACAGCAACATTGTAAACATGATCAACTATGAAAGACTTAGCTACTCTGGTAAAGACAGCAATCCAAGATAATTCCAAAGGATCCATGATGAAAAATGCTACTCACCTCCAGAGGGAGAACTGATGAATTCTGAACACAAATTGAAGCATGATTTTTAAACTTTATTTTTATTGTTTTATTTTGTTTGTGTTTTCTTTTGCAATATGGCTAATATGAAAATGTTTTGCATGACTTCACATGTATAATTGATATCAAATTGCTTACCTTCTCAAGAAGGAGGAAGGGTAGAAGAGAGGGAGAGAATTTGGAACTCAAAATTTTTAAAAATGAATGTTAAAAAAAATTTTTCATGTAATTGGGAAATATTTAATGAAATAAATAAAACATACAGAAAAAAATAAAAAAGCAATTATGGTGACTAACATTTAGGATTATTTCTAAAATCAATCTCAGATTCTAAGGCAAGTCAGTTATAGCTACAACAGAAAGTGCAGCCCAAAGTTTAATTTGACTGACTCTTTCTGTCTGTCTGTCTTTCTCTGTCTGTCTGTCTCTCTCCCCCCATACTACTATTTCTGGGTCTACAAAGTTTACATGCTCTCAGAGAGACAATGAAATTACTTTTATTGAAACTGAATAGTTATCTATTACCTAGCAGGTACCAGTAAGGCCTAGAGGGAGATACAAAGATGAAAGAGTCTACCAAAAGTTTACATTCTGGGAGAAGATATGAGACAGTATAGAAAGATAGTTACTATGCAAGGAGTGTAACTTTGGAAGGGACCCCAGAGATCATTTAGAGATCATTTCTGCGCATTTGATTAAAGGTGAAATGGGTTTGGGAAAAGAAAAGTCAAAAAGAACAATTACAGAGAGGAATGGGGACTGAGTCTGTGATTTCATCATTGTAGGAAACTCCCAAATGAGGAAACTCTCTCCCTTCTCTGCAACTTACAGTCAGAGAGAGTCGCCTAGAACAAGGATGGGGAACCTGCAGCCTTCTAGGTCCCTGGATACAGTCTTTTGAGTGAGTCCAAGTTTTACAGAACAAATCATTTTATTAAAGGGATTTGTTCTGTGAAGGCCCTAGAGCCTTAAGAGATTAAGAGACTTGCCCAGGGTCTCAAAGTCAGTAAATGTCAGAGTTGGGACTTGAACCCAGGTACTCTTGACTTTAAGGCCAACTTTCCCTGTACTAGGGCAGCTAAGGGGGCACAGTGGGTACAGTGCCTGGAGTCAGGAAGACAGCAAGTACTTTGCCTAATGGCAAACCATTCCAGTATTTTTGCCAAGAAAACCCCAAATGGGGTCACAAAGTGTCAGACACAACTGAAAACAACTGAACAACTCCACACATTAGACCACGCTGGCTTGGCTATGATAAAGCCAAGTTACACAACAAAACTGTGGCTTGCCTTTCATTTAAATCTATAAACTACTGTCATAGAATTGAAACAGAATTAAAATTAAATGTTTTGCTGTAATCAGTAACAACTGCCTTTCTGTACAACATAGGCGTGGGTTCCCAACTATTCCCCTCCTAGATTACAGAATCTAACGCTATTGCTGGTCTCTCGGTAAGAGCCATTGTTCAGTCCTGGGCACCACATTTAGAGAGGACACTTATGAGCTGCAGGCACCTCTAGGGGAGGGCAACCAGAAAGTACTGATGATGACCATGACAACATGACGTACAAGGACTGGGCGAAGAGCTTGGAGATGTCTGACCTGGACAAGAAAAGTCCTGACAAGATAGTGATCAGGAAGATACAAGTCTTGTAAAATACCTAAAAGGACTTCATGTGAGAGATCTGATGTGTGTGGCTTGGCCTCAAAGGGCAGAGGTGGAAGAAATGGGTGGAAGCTGCAGAGAGACAGATTTGAGGTCAATGTAAGGAAAATCTTCCAACCCAAAGTCAGACTAGAAGGCTTCCACTTAGTGGCTCCCTCTCCCTGGGTTTTCAGCAATGGCTGAGTGAGCACTTTAAAGACACAGTAACAGGTACCATTCAGGTACAGGCTGCCTGGCATGGCTTCTGAAATCACTTCCAACCCTGAGATTTTGTGACAAGTCCCCAGAAGGGAGTACAGCTTAGATGTGGCTTAAAGGTCTTAAAGGCCTTTGAGTTGGAAAACTCCCCGAGGAGCAGCAGAGTCACACTGAGATCAAAACCACTTTTCCTTCTCAGCCTCCAGCTTACACACCTGCACATATCCCCATCTTAGATGGTCACCTCTCAGATAAGGAGACTGAGGACCTGTTTCCCCTAATATCCATGTTCCCTCAGTCTCGTCCAGGCCACAGATGCCTTCACTTTACTGAAGTGGGGAGCAGAGGCAAGGCACTCACCTGAGCACCAGGGAAACAGTGTTCCTTGTCCAGCTGTCCAGCAACGGGGGCCAGCTCCTTCTCGGCAAAGTCCCGGCATGTTTGGCGAAGCATTTGGTGTGTCTCAGGCAGCTCTACAGACTGGTAGATGGTGTGCAGCTGCCTCCAGCCCTGGGAACAGAGAGCTGTCCAGGAGAGATGCTAGGGTCACTAGAGCAGAGACATGGATGTGGCAGGGACCCCAGGGGGCACCTGTCCTACCCCCCATCCCCCTTTTACAGATGAGCAACAGAGACCTCAGGAAGTACTGGAGCTGAGAGTTGAAGAGATGGCCTCTCACTCCAAAGTTTCTCCAATACATCCCTTAACAAAGGTAAAACATTTCCAAGGCTTTGTCCTAGGTTCTACTGTCTTGGTGACCTCATCCCTTCCTCTAAACTTCTCAGTTATGCTGAGAGCACCACCATCCTCCCCCAGATTAATCATACTGGTAAGCCTGGAATTATCCTCAACTCTGGTTTCTCCTTATCCTCAAGCTGGTTATTTCTCTATTCCTATCCCCTCCCTCTACACCTTCAGACACCACCCTAGCTCTGATCCTCCTCCTATTTCTCATCAGCTCTCTTGCTTATGGACTTCTCTGGACTCTCCATCATGCCCTCCCCCAGGAAATCTCATATGCTACAAGACTGACTCTGCCTGGTCCTCCTAGCTCACCAGTCCCCTCCGTCCCTTTGATCAGACCCTCTGGCTGGAGGGCAGGGTCGTGGCCTTGGGCTCAGTCCATTTTTCTCCCTACTTCCCACCAGCTCCACTGCTTTCGGACATCTGTGGATTCTCCATCTTGCCCCAACCCCTTTGGCTTCCTTTGTGGGGTTACCTTCCTCTATCAGACTGTTAGCTGGGGGCTAAGGGGGAGCGAATGTCTTTGTTTTCATTTGTATTTGTATCCCCAGCACTTAGCACCTCACCAAGTAGGTGCTTAAGGAATGTTTATTGACTGATAAAATGCAAAGGCCTCTCATTTCAATTCTTCCATAAACAGATTTCCAGTTTCATTTGACATTCCAACAGCTTTTTCTCTGTAATCATATTTAATGTCCCTCAAGACCAGCTTGTTTTTCCTTCTGGAACAGGAGTCAAAGGATCTGAGTTCAAATCCTAATTCTCCCACTACCTATGTGATCTTGAGCAAATCGCTTAACTTCTTGGGCCTCAGTTTCCTCATCTGTAAAATGAGGGGATGGACCAGATGTCAAATTCAAGTGAAGCAGGCCCCGCGGGCCCCATACTGACTCGGTCGTAAAATATAAGCCATTTCCAGAGATGGTTTCGGGGCTCGGACCCTCGGATCCTCAGCCTCGGCACGTCCCGGGTCCCATGGGCAGGTTCGCTGTCTGGTCTCCACCGCCCCCTCCCCATCCTCCGTCTCGGATCCTAAGCCCGCCCGCCCGCAGCAGCCTGCTCTGCCCTCGCCTCAAATGACGCGCTAGCCTCCCAGGGGCCGGGGGTTTGACTGCACTGACCACACGGGTATCCGGGGCGGTGTCCCAAGGGGGACCGAGCTGGTGACCTAAGGAGGCGGTGGCTCGGGGGGGAGGGGTCTGCAGGGCGGGGCTGTGGGGGAGGGGCGGAGCAGATCTCACGGAGGTCAGAGGGTCCGGATGGCACGGGGGTCCCCAGGAGGGGAGGGGAAGAGGGGGCGCGGCGTGGGGGCCGGGGGCGTCCTCGGGCGTGGCCCCCGCGGGGCCGGGGGTAATGGACAGCACCCGAGCGGAGGCGGCGCGGCCCGGCCCGAAGTGGGGCAAACGTCGCGTCACAGGGAGCCCGCCCCGAGCCGTCCCCGCCCGGACCCGCACTGGCCCGCACTCACCTCGGCTGACCGGGCCGCAGCCCCGGACCAGCAGGGACACAGCCATGGCCGTCGGTCCGTCAGTCAGTCAGTAGCGCCTGTCTGGGTTCTCCCCGGCCACAGCTAAGGCGACAGCGATGACCTCCAGGCCCCGTTCGCAGAGGAACCCCGGGAGGCCGTGCGCCGGCCCCGCCTCCTCGGGACTGGCTGGGAGGGCGCGCGCAGGGCCCCGCCCCCTCGGGACTGGCTGGGAGGGCACGCGCAGGGCCCCGCCCCCTCGAGACTGGGACAAGGGAGGCGGAGAACGAGGCTCCGCCCCAGCGCGCCTCACAAGAAACGGCCTAAGTAACAGACTCCGCCCCCTGGATTGGGAGGGGCGACCGAGTCTGGCCCTGCCCCCACGCGCCAGACTCCACCCCCGGAGCGGAGGGAGGTCCTCCCTTGGAGGCGGAACCGGACCCGCGCTCTTCGCGCCAATCTCCACACCCCGCCCTCCCCAAACCCTAAAGGTGAGCGAGCTCTGGGCAGACGCGCTCTGCCAGTGGGAGGAGGAGCGGGAGGGGAGGGTCCGTAGGGGCCGGGTGGCTGTCCTAGCTGGACAGAAAGCCCCCAGACCACATCTCCCTGACCATACTAATTGTTTAGACGCTTCACAGCTGGCAAAGAAACTTTCCTTAATGAAGCCTTGGGGGGCATTGTATACATAACAGCTGTAATAATAGGAAACACTCATCTAGGCTTTGAGATTTGCAAAGCATTTTGTATATATTAGATAACCTCCTACAAGGTGGGAATCTAATCTCAACCCCTCCCCAGTTCCAGCCTCCAGCATTAACTAGCTTTGTGACCTTAGGCAAGTCACTTAACTTGTCCGCGTCAGTTTCTTCAACTGTAAATTGGGGAGTGATATGAGGATCAAATAAGATATTTGTAAAGTGCCTGGTACATAGTAGGCACTTAATAAATGCTTGGGCAAGTAGGTGGTGAGGTGAATAGAGTACCAGGCCTCAAATCAGGAAGACTCATTTTCCTTAGTTCAAACCTGGCCTCAGACACTTACCAGCTATGTGACCCCGGGCCAATCACTTAACCCTGTTGGACTCAGTTCCCTCAGCTGTAAAATGAGCTGGACAAGGAAGTGGCAAATCACTGTAGTATCTGCCAAGAAAACCCCAAAATAGGGTCACAGTCTAAACATGACTGAAACAACTGAACAACAATTTACCATTCCATGAAATTAACCAAATTGTCCACTATCAGTTTGAGGGGAGATTCAAACCCAGGCCTTGCTCCTTCCACATCTAGGGCTCTATCCGTTTCTTCACGTGATCCAGCCTCTACTTGAATGAGGATTGGTTGAAGGAACTTGAAATGTACTCGAACCTCTCATTTCCCATCTGGTTGCACCCATTTAGGAGTTCCTTGATTTCTCCATCATGCTCCCAACTCACATCCCTCCCTGAAGCCCATGTTCGATTTTCAGTTTTTGTGTTGTCTTCACCCATTAGACAAGGGCAGGAACTTTCTTTTTCTATTTGTATCCTCATGGCTTGGCACAGTGCTTGACACACTGGAGGCACCTAAGAAATGTTTGTTGATTATTAACTAGGAATGTACAGCCTGGGGGGAAAAAACCCAAATATTTAAAGGAAGTGTAACTTGTCAGGAATTTAAAGGGCTTTTGGGAAATCAATATCCTACCCAGAGTCAGGGGTGGAGCAGAGATTGATTGTCCTTCCAGGTGTTGGTGACTCTAGCAAACCCTCTCTCCTCCTGAAATGCCTGGGATTAGGAGTGGAAAGTTACCTATGAATAGGATGTCCCAGTGAAGACTTCTCAGTGTAATTAACTTAATGAGTTCAGAAGGTAGTGTGAGAAATGAACTCTCAGGAGTGAAGGCTCCTCAAAGGGTCAAATAATTCTTGATTATTACTTTCAAAATCCTCCCCCACTCAGACCCTGGTTTTAAGCACTTACCAGAAAGGATAAGCCCTGCCCCACCCCCAACCTGAGCTTCCAGCCTCTTTCCTTGGCTTTGAATTTCGGGCCTGGAATGTAACCCTCACCTCCCAGTTAAGAGGATAGGAAGAAACTTTCGAGCTTAGAATGTAAGCCCACCCCTAGTTAAGGGGGTAAGGGATAGTGTTGGGCAGAGATTTGCTTTCATAAGGCGGCCCCTGTTACTCGGTCTCCCTCTCTCCACGTGTGTAGAAGGAGCAGACAGCCATCTCTTGAGATTGTAATAAAGGTAACCTTTACTTTCCACCTTGAGAAGTCTCTGAGTTTAATTTGGGTTGGGGTCGCTGTCCCACACACCTAGGTGATATGACCCTTTGCCATTTCGTTTTCTTTCTTTTTTCTTTTTTTTAAAAATTTTATTTTTTTAATTTTTGCCCTTTCGTTTTCTTTCTTTTTTTTTTGGTTTTGTTTTATTAATTTATTTATTTGTTTATTGACCTTTCCTTTTCAAAGAGGACCAAAATGACATCCCTAGGTTGGGGACAAGGTCATAATTGGGTAATCTAGATTCCAACCCCCAAACTTGATAAAGAGGTTTCTAAAATTTATTAGTAAGTTAACTGCTAACAAAGGCATGACTTCACAGTTCCCATGGCATGCCAGATGCCTCCCAAATCTTTTTTTTCCAGTTTAAAAAATTTTTTTATTTTGAACTTAAGAAATAAAACAAGCATTTCCATAACAAAGTAGAATAGGAAAAAAAGAGGATTACACATGAAACTACAAATCTTTCATGTACATACAACTTGTTTTTCCTTTTAAATTTATAATAAAGTTATCATGTAACTTTCTTTTTTCCCCTCTCCCTCCCCTTCATAGAGATGACTACCATTAGAAATAAATATGTATATATGTAAAACCATATATATAGCACCTTCCTTCATAGGTCCTTTATAGTTAATCTGAGTATGTATCTTAATCAAAATTATTTGGTCACTAAAGTTGTTCTTAAAACAGTATTGCTGTTACTGTATACAACATTCTCTTGGTTCTGCTAATTTTGTTCTTCATTATTTCATACAGGTCTTTTCAGGTTTTTCTAAAATCACCGAGCTCAGCATTTCTTTTGACCATGGCCTCTCTGACTCTGCCTTCCCTTCTATCAGCCCCCTCCTTTTCCTTTCCATTTCCCTACTACTTCTTCCCTCCCTCCCATCCCCCCTCCCTTTTCTTTCCCCTCTTACTTCCTATAAGGTAAATTAGATTTCTATATCTGAGTATGTTATTCCCTCCTTGAGCTAAATCCAATGAGAGTAAACTTCAAACAATGCTCATCTCCCTCCCTTCCTTCCCTCTACTGTAATAGGCCTTTGTGATGTAATTTACCTTTTTCTGCCTCCTCCTTTCCTCCTCTTCTCCCATTACAACCCTTTTTTCACCACTTAATTAGGTTTTTCATCATTACAAAGCCAACTTATACCCACAACCTCTGCCTATGTATATCCCTTCTAAATGTCATAATAAAGATACAGTTCTCAAGAGTTACAAGTATCATCTTCCCGTGTAGGGATGTAAACAGTTTGTCCTTATTGAATAGCATGGTGTTTTTTTTTCCTTCCTGTTTACCTTTTTATGCCTCTCTTGAGTCTTGTATTTGAAGATTGAATTTTCCATTGAGCTCTGGTCTTTTCATCAGGAAGGTTTGGAAGTCCCATATTTCATTGAATATCCATCTCATCCCCTAAAAGATTATGCTCAATTTTGCTGGGCAGTTGATCCGTGGTTGTAATCCAAGATCATATTCCACATCCTCCGAGCTTTTAATGTAGAAACTGCAAGGTCCTGCATAACCGTGACTGTGGTTCTGCAATATTTGAATTGTTTCTTTTTGGCTGCTTGCAGTATTTTCTCCTGGATCTGATAATTCTGGAATTTGGCTACAATATTCTTTGGCATTTTCAATTTAGAATCTCTTTTAGGTGGTGATTGGAGGATTCTTTTGATGACTATTTTACCTTCTGGTTCTAGGATCTCAGGGCACTTTTCCTCAATGATTTTGTTTTATAATTATTTAGCATTTATTGAATGACTGAACAAATGAGTGGATGGATGATGAAAAATATTATAAGCACCCTCTAAATTTTGCCACCTTAAAGCAAAACTTCAGTTGCTGCACCCTATTTATTTATAGATTTAGATTTATAGATTTATATAGTTATAGCTCTGCGTTTCCCTACAGACTAATATAATTACCCTCTGAAATGAGCTGTGCCTGCCTGTATGACTGCTTGCCTCACTGCCTCAGTGTTTACCCAGAGCATGCTAACTATAAAGAGAGAAAAGAGAAATGGAGCTGTAAACAAGAATCCCAAAAGGCCATCTGTGGTTCATAAGGCAAACTCCTATGTAGTAGTATATTGATGGTCTTTTTAACTTTATTTCTATTCTCTCTTGATTAGTGCATGGTGCTAAGGGAGCCAAGTTTATAGATTATATTCCATATGTGCACAATCACTTCATTTTCTCCATTTGATTGCACCCTTAGCTGTAGAAATTTCACCATTGTGGGTCATCATGTATAAGGAGCATCCCTACTACTAGCAAAACAGGTCAAGGCATCATGTTAAACAGTAACACCTCTTACAAGCACAGCAAAATACACTTTTGCCCAAGTTCCTTTATAGCAAGCTTCCTTTACTATCAAATTCACATCACATTCCCAAATGTTCCCTTGACTATGTCGATCCAAAATCCCTAACTTTGTAACTACAAGCCACAGAACCATAGCAAACAAAACAAAAAAAAATTTAGAGCTGAAGAAATCTTAGTAGTAAGAACAAAAAAGGGAAGACAACAAGTTGATGTACAAGATAAGAAAGAAGGTAGTTAGCCAGCACCTAGTCCCTTGATGAATACAAGTCACCTAGCACATTTGAACTATATCCTCAGATACAGAAAGAAATCACAGAAGTGATTTCTGAACCACTGACACTGATGTTTAAAAGATCATGGAAAATTGGGGACATACTTCAAGACTGAGAAGGGCAAATGTTCCCAAATTTTAAAAAAAGTAAGAGGACAGAATCTGCTAACTACAGGCCAGTGAGCTTGACTTGATTCTAAAGAAAACTGCAAAATTGATCATCAAAGATTAATTATTTTGGTCTGGCATGACCTACTCTTGGTGAAGCCATGCTGGTTCTTGTAATCACTGATTCCCTTTCTAGATGCATGCCAACCATCTCACTGAAGCTCAC